GGAGCATCAGGACACGGAGAACATGGGAGTTAATGGGGACAGGAGGTGACACTGGGGACAGGAGAGGTCCTTGGAGAGGGTCTGGATCCATGGGGTGACATCAGGAGATGGAGAATGTGGAGTTAACAGGGACAGGAGGTGACACTGGGGACACTCAGTCACCTTGGAGTGGTTTTGGATCCATGGAGGGACATCAGGACATGGAAAACATGGAGTTAACAGGGACACTGAGGGGACAGCAGGTGACACTGGGGACAGGAGGTGGCCCAGGTGACCCAGGTGATGTTCCTGGGGTCCACCTCGGAGAATCTCTGGATCCACCGGTGACATCCTGGTGACATCCCGGTGTCCCCTCAGTGTGCTCCATCCGGGTCATCGGCGAGAGCGACATCATGCAGGAATTCCTGTCGGAGTCGGACGAGGTGGGTGACGCCGGCGCGCGGAATTGTCCGGAAAAAACCCTTTAATGGAATCGCCAAGGTTGGGAAACCCCTCCTGTCCAGCTGTCCCCAAGGCCACCCCCATCCCTGTCCCCGAGTGCCACATCTGTGGGTTTTTGGGACAATTCCCAATTGGGACAAATCCCAATCCCAATTCCCCCAAAAATGACAAAATTGCCCTATTTTTATGGAATTAAGGCTTGAGCCCACAGAATTTCATGGAAAAAAACCCTTTTATGGAATCACCAAGGTTGGGAAACCCTTCCTGTCCAGCTGTCCCCAAGGCCACCCGCAATCCCCATCCCTGAATGCCACATCCAGGATTTTTGGGGACAATTCCACCTGTTTTTTATAGGATTGAGGCTTGATCCCACAGAACTCCATAGGAGAAAAACCCCTTTTTATGGAATTATGGAATTGCCAAAGTTGCTCCTTGTTGCTCCTCATATCCAACTGTCCCCAAGGCCACCCCTGATCCCTGTCCCCAAGTGCCACATCTGTGTGGTTTTTTTTGGGACAATTTCCTCTGTTTTTTATGGATTTGATTCATCCCAAGTTCCCAAAATCCCTCCAAACCCCACAATTTTTCGGGATACCAAGAATCCCCAACTCAGGGGAGGGAACTCCAGAGTGTGAATCCATCTTGATCCCAAAACCCTCAATTTTGGGACAATTCCAAGGAGAAATTCCCCCAAAAAAATCCCACTGGAGCCACCCCTCAGCAAAACACTCCACCCCCACTGCCAAATCCCAAATCCTCGGGGGGGAAAACGGTGGATTTCCTGATTTTGGGGAATTTTTCCCAGAATTACAACGGCGTCTCCGATGTGGAGCTGCGGGTGGCGCTCCCGGACGTCACCACGGTGACAGTCAGGGTCAAGAAGAACAGCACCACGGACCAGGTGTACCAGGTGAGCTCCTCGTGCTTGGAATTCC